AAGCCTCCCACAGAGGCACTAGGTGCTGCTGCTAGCACCAATCCTGCAGGGTCCTGGCTAGAGGATCTTGCCTCTGCACTTCCACCTCCAGGGGGCACACAGCTTCAGAGCTAAGAGCAACCCCGCGGTGGCACCGAAGGGCCTCGACTGCATGCAGTAACCAAGGTTGATGAAAGGGTTCTCTAAGGTACGAGTGGGCTGGATGGCAGCAGGTCTGGCCTGCTCCGGCCTGGCCTCCCTCCAGGGCAGGGGTGACCAACCTAAGCCTGAGAAGGAGCCAGAATTTAGCAATGTACATTGCCAAAGAGCCACAGTACTATGTAATATGCGAGCAGTCATGTCACGTGACATAACGGCTATAGCAGCTGGTCACCGTGCTTGTGCAAAGGTTCAAGGAGATGCATATTAACTTTTGAAGAGCTGCACGTGGCCCCAGACCGCCAGTTCGCCACCCCTGCTCTAGGGCCTGTCCCATGCACTTCATTTCTATGAAATGCTGGGAGGGGTGTGGGGGGTTAACTTGAAAGTGTAGGGATGAGCTCATTTTGGAAAACTTTTCTCCTGCGAGAGCTGGGAAGGCATCTGCCTCCGGCCTTCCCACCGTGTGCAGTAGCCCAGCAGCGAACAATATTTCCCCCTGGCGCGCACACAATATTCAATAGCACTGAGGAGAGGGGTTGGCCCTGAGGTCTGCTGCCACACAGTGGGTTGGGAAGGTAAATCTCTACCTGACTGAAGGCTGCCGGGACAAGCAACCTGGACATGAGACCTGTCCCAAGGGCGCTTTAAGTCTTCCTCAAACAGATGCCAGATTTGGGGTCAGGAAGGAATTTTCCCCTAGTCAAATTGGTCTTCAACTGCCTTCCTTCCCCCCCAGCTCCCCATGGGCTAGACAGCCAGGGCCCTGCAGAGCCACCCCCGTTACCATGGAAACCGTGTGGGGGTAATTTAGAGGGAGGAACATTAACCTCACCTTGTTTCCCACTCACGATGAACTCTGCCCCCGCCCCCATGCCCCACCTTTAGGCCTGCGGGCCCTAGGGCGTGGGCGCCGCCATCTTAGCTGCTACTGCGCATGCGCCCCCGGCCACTTCCGGCGGTGAGCAGGACTCCTGGACCCAAATACCGGGAAATGGCAGCGGCCAAGGAGGCTACACGTGGGCTACCGTCCAGCCTGGCTCGTAGCTGCCGCCAACCCCCAATGAGACACGTCCCTCCATGGACCCCGCCCCCCAGTGACAGCCCTCTTAACCCATCGCTGGCCAGGGGCGGGACCGCGGGGCTCCTCGGCCAATCAGAGGTGTCGGGTGGTGCCAATTACCATCTCCCCTCTCCTGAACGCTCCTCGGTATGGGTAGGTGTAATGGGTGGGGCAGTCTCCATGGAGACCGGCCGAGACCCATCCCCCTGTGGAACTGACAGCCGGAAGGAGTTGTCGCGGGGTTCTATCCGGCTGCCGCGCCCCAGTCCCCATCGCCGCCGTCTTCCCGCCCTTTTGCGACGTCCTTTATGGCGGCGGGGGAAGGGCGTTTTACAACTTCGGCGCTTTACGGCACAGCTTGGTCGAGTGGGGGATACGACACGCTTTACGGCAGTGAGGAAGGAGGGCAAGGCCGCCGGCTTTTTGCAACGCGCGCTTGACGGCAGCACAGGGATCACCCTGCACCATATTGCCATAGCAACGCTGTGACGCCCGCCCCTCCCAGTAGCTTTCCTGTATGAGCCAGCATTCCCCAGTACCCTCCCAGTATATCCCAGTGCCTCCCAGTACCCTCTTAATATATACCAGTATCCTCCCAGTACCTCCCCATCCCTCTTAGTATGTCCCCCTACCTCCCACTATCTCCCAATACCCCCCCATCCTCCTAGTACCCTCATGGGATCCCCCACTGTCTCCTACCTTCCAGCATCCCCCAGTACCCCACCAGCCTTCCCAGTACCTCCCAGGAGCCCCCACTCTGCACTAGCTCACCCCCTCTGCCCCCGCCCCCACAGACACACACAGGACCCCGGGCCAGGGGCTCCAGGCATTTATTCCACCTCTTTCCTGGCACAGCTCAGTCCCTGCCACAGGATCGGCCCAAATCCGGCCTGCTGGGCAACTGGCTCAGCCGTCGGGGCCAGCACAGCCCCCCCACACCAGGGCCTCTGACTTCATACAGCCGGGATGCAGCTGGCTCTGGCGGGACACCGGAGCTGGGTATAACAGAGCTCCCTGGTGCAGTTGGCTCGGGGGCAGGGGGTAAGGCCAAGGTGCAGCCCTGGCAGATCCAGCGATCCTTCATGTGGCAGAAGTCGGGGTAGATGCTTTGCTTGTCCTCGAAGGCCCCGCACTGCTCCTGCAGTGGCCCCGAGGCACCCGCGGCCTGGGGGGCAGGAGGGGTAGATCTGCTCTGCAGGGGGGAGGCAGAAGGCTGCTGGGGTCCTGCCCAGCCCTTGCTACCCCACAACCTGATAAAGACATGGAGCACCAGGGAGATTGGCCAGATTTACCCACAACGCGCTTCTTCCATGCCCCCCAACCCCTCTCTGTGGCCCTACTCGATGCCCTGGGCTTTGGACACAAAGTAGCACCACAGCCCCTGCTGCAACCAGCCTGGGGGGCAGAGCAAGCAGCTGGCACCAGCAGGGAAGGCAGGGGACCAGCTAGGGGATAGCCCCCTGGGGCAGCTGGCTCTGGGGGGGCAGCATCAGGGCCACATAGGACAGGGCTGTCCCCCGCACCCTGCCAGGTCCCACTGGCTTTGTCCATACAGAGTTTGGCTCCCAGCTGCTCCTGGACCCTGTTCTTGTAGCAGCTCCTCAGTGCTGTGGTGGGAGAAAACGGGGTTCAGGGTGGGCGGGAGGAATCGCAGGCGGGTGCTTCTGGGGTGGGCATCAGGGGCCTCTGCCCAATGCAGAGAGGGAGCTGGCTCGGGCAGGAAACATCAGGGCTGGGTAGAACAGCTCCCACGATGCACTTAGCTCTGGAGGGGTGGTGCTGGCTGTAACAGCACGGCAGGATCCCTGCCAGCACAGCTCCCAGCACCATCGGTTTGTCCCCCAGGGCCAGCAGGAAGAGGCCGCAGCAGCAATACGAGAGCCAAAGTCCTAGCCATGGGAAAGGTCATGAGTGAGGGGCTCTGCCAGGGCTGGGGGGAGGGGGGATTGCAGGTTTGCGGGGTAGGGGCACCAGCTAGTTGAGGGGCCTCTTGCCCAGGCTAGGGGTCCAGGGACTTGTACCTGCCCTAGCTGTGCACAGCCACTGGTGGGACCCATGGCATCCAGGTCCTTCCTCCGTGGGGCAAGCAGGGAGTGAGGCCAGCAGGGTTTGTGCATGACAGGAAACAGAGGGGGGGTGCGTGAGGAAAGGGCTAGTGGTCAGAGCAGGAAAGCTGGGACCCTGGACACCTGGGTTCTGTGGGGGAGGGGGGGTGCAACTGGGGGTGATTAGAACATTCTCCCCGTCATGGGGGCTGCAGGCACCAGTAACCTCCCCTGGTGGCCACCCAGACTCAGTCACATCTAGAGCCCACTACCCTCAGCCCAGGGCCCCACTGTGCTCTGGGAGGTGATGAGATGGAGGAAGAGGAGTGGGGTCTGGGGGGTGGGGGGCAGAAGCCCAGATGCCTGGGTTCTGCCCACTCGGGCGGGGCTGCAGCCCCCCTGGTCTCCCCCACACTGGCAGAAAAGATCCAGGCAGCGCAAGCCGGAGTTGCTGGGGCTGGACAGGGCCAAGGAGATGAAGGTGATGCTGTCAGAGGACACCCAGTCCCTGAATGGCACCAAGTGCCCTGGTAAGCCCAGGGCCTCAGGGAGGAAAAGTGGTGTGGGGCTGGACACCTGGGTTCTCTGGGAGGGGAAGGGGCTGGGGGTGAAAGTGGGGGGGCTGGGGGCCCGGATGTGTGGGGTCTCTGGCCAGGTCTGTGCAGGGAGCCATCATCCTGCATCTTTCTCCCACAGAGGATGCAGCCCACAGCTACACCAAGATCATATTGGAGAAAATCCATTCCTGCCTATGTTCAAAAGCATTTTGGATGTGCACTGGTAGGGGGGGATCTGGGCGTCATGGTGCCCGGGCTCTGCTGGCTGCCCCCCCCCCCCACTTCCTGCTCCATTGGGCGGGGGTTTAAGCCCTCCCAGAGGTGCCAGGTGGTGCTGCAGCCCAGGCTAGGCTAATGCACCTGCTGGGACCAGCCCTACAGGGTCCTGACTACAGGGTCTTGCCCCTCAGCTCAGGGTCAAGAATTTGCCCCCTGCTCAGCCCCGTTTGGCCCTGGGGGGTTCCCCTCCCTCTGCAGTAGGGGCATGACCTGGGCTTTCTGCAACATCTCCAACCTCTGGCAGCAGTAAGATGTGGGGCCATGGCCCCCCTGCTGTCCCCGGGGCAGAGGTGGGGGCGAGGCCTGGGGTTAACGGTAGCTGTAGGAAGTGGCTGGAGGGTGGAAGTGTCTGGGCTGCACGGGGCTGATCCTGCTGCCTCAGGCAGGGGTTGGGCTGGACATGCCCCTGGGTCCTTTCCAGCCCCCGGCTTGGGGAACCCAGGTGTCTAGGAATAGGGAAGTTGCTGTTTGTGCTGCGCTCGCTGTTTCCTCTGACACCCACTTCCCCTCCCAGTCACCTTTTTAGTGGTGGTGATACCGACGACACTGGGACTGTCTAAGACATCAGGGATACGTGGGGCACTCGTGCTGAAGAATGACACCCTTGTGCCTTCCTCCAGTCCCTGTAAGGAAGGGGAGTGAGGGGAGCTGAGGTTCAAGGGGGTGACCCCGTTATACTCAGCCCCAGTGCCCACCCCAGAGCCAGTTGCAGCTCACCCACTGCTGTACCAGGACTCAATGCCCTCTTACCAGCTGGGATGGGTCTTGGCCCATATGCTATCTGAGGGATCCACGTCTACCTGAACATTCCCCACCCCCCACCCTTTCCCCCCGCGTCTCCTGCAGCTTCCAGCTCCTTTGAGTTTGCAGTTACTTCTCCGGTTCCTCCCACAAAGACCAGTCCTGCAGGGACCATCTCCAGCCCCAGCCCCCTCAGCCACTCGGCATTGTCACCTTCTGTAAAGAAAGAGGTCGGCAGCTGATCCACTCTGATGCGGCACAGGTAGGTATCCAAGTGAGAAGCCGGTGGTGTGGCTTCCTCTGGGCTGGGGCACTGGGGGCTGGTTGTCCAGAGCGCCGATGCCCAGCAGTGAGATGCAGCTGGCTCTGGGGTGGGCTGTCAGGGCTGGGGATAACAGGGCCCCCTGCTGCAGCTGGCTCTGGGGCAGGTATCCCAGGGTCCCTGTGATGCAACTGGCTTTGGGGTGGGCACCGGGGACTGGGTATAACATGGCCCCCAGTGCAGCTGGCTCTGGGGTGGGCATCCAGTGCCACAGGCTGTCTCATTTGACCCTGCAGGCACTGCTGGAGCATCACAAGACCATGTAGGTCCAACCACTCCTAGCTGTGGAGGAGGAGACTCGGTGAGTGTCCTGGGCAGGGGGCGGGATGAGGACCTCTGGGTCTACCCCATCTGCTTTCAGGTTCAGAATGAATGGCACTGCCCTGCTGCAAACCCTGGTGCCCCTGGTCTGGGGGGAGCGTGAGCCCCCCTGGGCCCTGCCCGTGCTGCTGCCCTGCTCTGTGCCCCTCTGGGCTCTGGGCAGGTGCAGGGGTGCATTGGGCACAGCGTCAGGTTGGCGCAGCTGCTGCGACACGGCCGTGGCTGGGAGTAGTGTCCAGAGCCGAGCAGGCGGGTGCGCAGGCATCCAGCACTCTGCATCCAGCCCACACAGAGGTGGGGGATACAGTTTGGACACTGTGTGTGTATCCTGGACACCTGGGTTCTGCATGTGTGTCCGTGTCCCAGGGAGTTTCCAACAGTCTTTTCTCCCCTCACCTAGTTGCTGCTCCTACCTGGAGGATGGGCAGCTGAGATGGAGCAGCAGCAGCGTCACCAGCCCCTGCCTTTGCATGTGAACACCCGGCAGCCAGACGGGCGCAGGTCTCCTCTGCTGCAGCCGCCCGCCTGGGCCTGTCCCTGTCCCATACATTCCATTTACGCAAAAGACTGGAGGGAGGGGTTGGTTTTTTTGGCACTTTTAAACCCATTTTGGACACCTTTTCCCGGCGCCGGACATGACACTAAGAAGCCTTCTGGCTCCGCCTTCCCACCTCCCCACGTGCAGCAGCCACCAATATGCCCCGCTCTGCACACACGCTATGCAACAGCAGTAAGGAGGTGGGGTTTGGCCTGACGGGTCCAGGTGATGCTCATCACTGGAAGGTGAATCTCGGCCTGACGGGGAGCAACCCAGACACGCATGAGAGTGTCGGGGTTTACACAAGCACGACGACAGTCCCTCTCCCGTCTCGCTGCACGCAAGGGGCCGTCCATTCCCGCCCCGGTTTTCCTTTTGAAACCAGCACGGGGTTCCCCTGGCCCCTCTCAGGGGCATTTACCTGCCACAACTGCCAGCTTTACACTTTACCGGCGTCAGACCGAGCGTGCCACGCCCGGTGCCTCCTTCTGCTCTTGAAACAAGCGGGGGACGAGCCTCGGCGCCGCGTTTGGGCTGTGACGCGTGTAGCGGCCCGAGCGTCGCGGGCAACGCTGCAGCAGCGCCGGGGATGTATTTTCTGTGTAAGAGGGAAGGACGTTGCCGCGGGCGCAGGGCGGGGGTGCTCGGGTGCTATTTTTTTTTATTTAAAAAGCCAAAGCCCAAAACAGCAGTGTTTCATGGGTCTGGGGGGGGGGTCTTGGCCTTGGCCTTGGCCAGGCAGGGTCAGGCACGAGCTAGGCAGCCCCAGGGCCGCGGAGGCCGCGAGAAGGACGATGTTGGCTGGAGCGATCCGCCCCGGCCCAGCTGTTCCCGGGGGCGGGGAGCAGCGCAGGGGAGGCTCCGCCGGTGGCGCACAGCCAATAGGAGCCGGGCCCAGCCCTCGCCCCGCCCACTTCCGGACTGCACTTCGCAGCGGCAGGTCGGGTCGGGCGAGCTAGGCAGCCCCAGGGCCGCGGAGGCCGCGAGAAGGACGATGTTGGCTGGAGCGATCCGCCCCGGCCCAGCTGTTCCCGGGGGCGGGGAGCAGCGCAGGGGAGGCTCCGCCGGTGGCGCACAGCCAATAGGAGCCGGGCCCAGCCCTCGCCCCGCCCACTTCCGGACTGCACTTCGCAGCGGCAGGTCGGGTCGGGCCTCCCCCCCCAGCGGCCGGGACGGGCTCGGACATGGTGTCGCTGCTGTGCTGCGGACCCAGGCTGGCCGCCTGCGGCATCGTGCTCAGCGCCTGGGGGGTCATCATGCTGGTAG